ATGCAATGTATTAACAGAGGGTTCCCCCCGCATCGGGCCTGACGCGTGCCAACGTATAAAATATGGATCAAAATCCGGATGATGGCGTCTTCGCAGACATACCACCTGCACCGCCTCGGTGGCGGCGACTTGAACACTCCACCAGTGGCAAGCCCTTTTTGTGTTTCGCGGCCAGCTGGTCCAACACAGTGGGGGGATTGGCGGGGTGCGCAAAGCTGATACCACCGAAACCCGTGCCGGTGAAAAAAAACGAAAAGCGGCTGAAGGATACGGAAACACACACAAACAAACAAATGAACAGACAATAATGAAACCGTGCACGCGCTCTGGCACGCGCGGGAAGACCAGAAGAAATGGAACATCAAGACTTCGCAAGCGACCCACTTACGGGTGGCGCGATGGGGGCAGGTAGAGTCAGCTAGCGATTCACAAAAAAAGGGGGCGCGTGATTTAAAAAAAAGGTTTTTCTCCTCTGGCGAATCGCGGGGGGGGGCGCCCACCAAATTGAAACACGCGGCGGCGGCGCCGGTGATTAGCGCCGGCGCCCAGCCGACTGCAGGAGGGCGACAGCCGCGACGCAAGCGGCGCCCCTTCAGCGGAGGGGGATGCATATGGGGCCACCACGGGCGCGAACGAGCGGGGGCCATGAAGGGCATACATACATGGGGCCACGAAGGGCAGCGAGGGGGCCACGAAGGGCTGCAACGGGGCCACGAAGGGCAGCAAGGGCGCCACGAAAGGCTGCAACGGCGCCACGAAGGGCTGCAACGGGGCCACGAAACAAAGCGAGGGACCACGAAGGCTGCAACGGGGCCACGAAGGGCAGCGAGGCGGCCACGAAGGGCAACGGGGCCACGAAACAGCGAGGGGCCACGAAGGGCTGCAACGGGGCCACGAAACAAAGCGAGGGGGCCACGAAGGGCTGCAACGGGGCCACGAAACAAAGCGAGGGGGCCACGAAGGGCTGCAACGGGGCCACGAAGGGCAGCGAGATCGAGATTCCTAGGTAATCTGTGAGGGAGTCCTAAGCGTGAGCGCGACTCCTGGGTGCCTGGGTGTCGGAAGCGCGGCGCTTGAGTAAATTGCAAGAAATTCCAACGCAAGAGCGCTATTCTTCAGTACATTGCAAGCAAATCTCCAGCGAGAGCGCGACTCCAGAGCGCAGGGAGAGCGATTCTCGAATAAATTGTAAGGAAGTCCCAAGCGAGAGCGCGATTCCTGAATAAAATGCAAGGAAGTCTCGGGCGGGAGCGGGGATCCTGGCTCAATTGTGAGGACAGGCGGGAGCCGTTGTTGCTGTGCCAGGTGCAAACACATACACAAACACACACACACACACACACACGCACGCACGCACGCACGCACGCACGCACGCACGCACACACACACACACACACACACACACACACACACACACACGCGCTAGACCATGACAATACATGTGGCGAAAATGTACAATGAACAATGAACCTTGGCAACGCGCAACACACATGACCTGATCCGCTTATCCCAATGGAACCTTCAAAACCAGTGTACGCAGAACAGCGTGGCATACCAACACACCGGCTGCACGAAACCACCACCGAACACAATGACATACCCCGAAGCACCGCGATGAATCAGCACAACACCTACAACGCGATGAAAGTGATTGCGACTCTTGTTGCAAGAACTGCAACCCAGTGAGTGTGATCAACGGCAACTCTGTAGACGTGGTCTGTAGAGAGGAGAAGCACAGCCCTGGACTACCTGCCAACGTCCCTCACAATTCCAGCCACTCCCTTCAAGGCTCCACCGACAATACCCCTGGCGTTCACGTTCTCGGGCGGTGGTGCATTCTTCATACCCTCGGCTGCAAGTTCCTTGCAGTCTTCCCTTTCCATGCACGCCTCAGAATAAACGCAACGTAGAATAATAATGTTAGCCGTGCATTCGCGAGAGGCAAACTTGAAGAAAACCGTGTTATTTGCCCGGTTGATCTCAACCAGTGGGGGCACGCCCTCCGCAGACTGTACAAAGTCACTGTGTTTCAAATTGCATTTCGTGAAGAAGCCGTTCTTGTCCTGCTTCGATTTGGAAAGAGTATTAATCAATTCGTCGCCGAAAAGATCAGACGCGATGCCGTTCACGATTGCGTCGCGTTTCTTTTTGAGGTCGTTGGCTACATTAAGCAATAAGGAAATAGGTGCTCCAATTTCCGGAGGCAGTAAGCCAGTTCCAATTGCATCCAACGCAAAGAATTTCTTCTGTTCTAAGATATCTGTGTTAACGCCTTTCAAAGCATCCCGCATGAGATCCAAGTCAAAAGTTGACTTGACGAGACACTCATCCTCCTCGTCTTGCCAAGCCATCATCCACCAGTCGTTAGTACCCAGCGATCGGAGCGACACATTTGTTATCCGCTGACCTCTGCAGAGTCACAAGGAGTGAGAGATCCTCCTCCCCAACCCAACCACACACCAATCAACATGCATTCCACCCAAAACCAGAAGTTCCTACCCGGCAAGACAAGGGCAGAACCGACAAGACCAAAAGCAGAAAGACTAAACCAGACAGGCCATACCAGACTATACGGTAGCATACCAAACAGACAAGACAGGCAAGGCAGACCGCACACCTCGGACAGACCAGACAGACAGGACAATAAAAGCAGACCAGATCGACCTCACACGCAGACAACACAAAAACAAAATCAAAAAATGATCCAGGCGAAGGACCCAACCATACGAAATTGTCAGAACCGCAGGGCAGGTGGGACGAAGCAAAGGGAATTCCCAATGAGGCCACGAACCGTGTGAGGGGTGCGCTAAAATGGGGCGGGGCCGCCATTCGAACCCTGCCTTCGGTGGAGCCCCCTACAGGGCCCCGAACCGTGTGAGGGGTGCGCCAAAATGGCGCGGGGCCGCCATGCGAACCCTGCCACTCGGGCCTTCGGTGGAGCTCCCTGTGGGGCCACGAACCGTGTGAGGGGTGCGCCAAAATGGAGCGGGGCCGCCATGCGAACCCTGCCACTGGGGCCTTCTGTGGAGCCCCCTACAGGGCCACGAACCGTGTGAAGGGTGCGCCAAAATGGCGCAAGGCCGCCATGCGGACCCTGCCACTGGGGCCTTCGGTGGAGCTCCCTATGGAGCCACGAACCGTGTGAGGGGTGCGCCAAAACGCGGGGCTGCCATGCGAACCCTGCCACGGGACCTTCGGTGGAGCTCCGTATGGAGCCACGAACCGTGTGAGGGGTGCGCCAAAACGCGGGGCCACCATGCGAACCCTGCCACTGGAGCCTTCGGGAGCTCCCTATGGGGCCACGATCCTCATGAGGGGTGTGCCGAAATGGCCCGTGGCCGCCATGCGAACCCTGCCAATGGGTGCCTTCGGTGGAGCTCCCCATGGGGCCACGCAACGCTGTACTGGGGGGGTGAAACGCAGGGAGGAGGGAGGAGGGGGAGGAGAACGGGAAGGAAGGAACGCGGGGCACCGTCTCTTGAAAACGAGGACCCAACACCACAGGATGGTTGGGAGACAAACCAAACACATGAACCCGATAGACCAGCAGGAAAAACCGACGAAACAGGCCAGGTCAATCAGAACAAGGCCAGAAGATAAACATAAATACTAGACTTGACAGGCCAGACACCAGACAGACAAGAATCAGACCAGGCGGATCAAACAAACCAGACAGACCAGACCTAATAAGCTAAATTTGGTAGACAAGACAGAAAAGACCAGACGAGAAAACCACCAAAACCTAGTCGGGCAGACTTCTCATCAAAAGAACAATCCGCCGATCTGCCCGGCGTGTGAATTCAAAAAGCTACAGCCTGAGCTTCAGCTCTGCTGGGGGGGGACCAGAGGGGCTCTTTCGGGGAAGGGGGGGCGGGGCCTACCATTTCCGGGGAAGCTGCCGCGCCGCAGGAGGAAGGACGTGGGAACGGTTTGGCCGGGGAAGGGGGGAAGGGGAGGGGACTCCGAAAACGCCGCCAGGACGGCCCAAGAGAGCTCCTACACGCCCAAGAACCCAAAAGGTTCCCAAGAGGGCTCCAAGACGGCCCAACAGGGCCCAGAAACGGCCCAAAACTCGCCCAAGACGGCGCATGAGGGCCCCAGGACGGCCCCAAGAGGGGGAGCATGAACAGACGATTCGAGCCTTCCGCCCCAAGAGACCTCCAGGAAGCCTCAAGGCCTCCGAGATGCCCCAAGGAGCTGCCAAAAAGCCCCCACGATGCCCCAAAAGGCCCCCGAAGGGCCAAAAAAAGGTTCCCAAACGTCCCCAAAGAGGCTCCACAACTGCCTCCAAGAGGCCCCCGAGAAGCTCCCCATGAGATCCAAACGAACCCCCCAAAAGCCTCGGACCCACAACTCAGGCACGGTGGCGGGATGGGTCAAATGCCACCAGAGAAGGATAGAAATGACGGGAAGGAACAGCACACGATGAAACATTCACGCTACGACCCGCTGAACCAACCACCGACGAACAAACCCATCATGGAACGAGCCCGCCAACAAGCTCGACAGACGGACACGAAGCAAGCATCCCATTCAACACATACTGCCTAAGGCGACTGCCAACACCCTCTTTCCCCTCCCTCTCCATTATCCTTCCCTCTAAATAACTCCTCCCAGGGCGGGCTGGGCGTTTCGCCTAAGACATCCACACCGTGTATACAACCTGATATGATCTTTTATATATATATTATATATATATATATGTATGTAATCCCTAAAATGCTTACATGCAGTACATGCATACATACAAGCAATGTACTGCATGCATGCAGCATGCATGCATGCATGCATGCATGCGTGTTGCATACGTACATTACATACATATATATATAAATATTTACATACATACACATAACATACATACTATTACATTACATACATACATACATACGATACATATAATATAGATATACATAAATATACATATACATATTACATATACATATACATTACATACATATACATATACATATACATATACATATACATATTACATACATATATAGATATACATATAATATACATATACATAACATATTATATATTAAATATACATACATATACATATACATATACATACAGAAGGTGTCCGCTGGATCTCCCCGGGGGGGGGGGGGCGGACCCCCCCCCCCCCCGACCCCTCGATCCGTCGTCGGGGGACCCTTCCCCTCCCCCCCTTCCCCGATCCGTCGTCGGGGACCCCCCACCCCCCCGTCCTTTCCTCGTGTCGGGAACCCCCGTCCCCCCCTTTCAGAAGGGGGGGGGGTCGAACCCCCCCCCACCACCTCACCCCCCCTTGGCCGCAGACCCCCCCCCTCCCCCCCTTTCGCCACGCCGCCCCCTGACTCCGGAACCCGACCCCCGCCACCCTACCCCTAGTCCTCACCCGAACACCCCCAAACCCTAACCCGAACCCCAACCACTAACCCCAGCCCCAAAGAGTACTCACTACTCATTACTCACTACCCACTACTGGCGACTCGCTATTCGCTACTCACTTCTCACTACCCCCTACTCTCTACTCACGACTTACTACTCTCTACCCATTACTCACTACCCACCACACACTACTCGCTACTCACTACTCCCTACTCACTATTCCCTCCTCCCTACTCACTACTCACTACTCACTCCTCACTACCCACTACTCAATACTCACTACTCCCTAAGCACTACTCACTACCCCCTACTCACTAATCACTACTCATTACCCACTACACACTACACACTATCCACTACTCACTACTCACTACTCACTACTCACTACTCAATGCCCACAAATCACTACTCACTACCCACTACTCGCTACTCGGTACTCCCTACTCCCTACACAATACTGGCTACACAGTGCTCAGTACTCACTACTCCCTACTCCCATACTCGCTACTCAATACTCACTACTCACTCCCCACTACTCACTACTCACTACTCACTACTCACTACTCACTACTCCCTACTGACTAGTCACTACATAGTCTCTAGTCACTAGTCACAAGTCACTAGTCACTAGCCACTAGTCACTACTCAACTCACTACTCACTACTCACTAATCGCGACTCACTACCCACTATTCGCTACCCACTTCTTACTACTCACTGCTCACTACTCCCCACTCCCTACTCCCTACTCACTACTCACTACTCACTACTCGTTACTCCCTACTCGTCACTCACTAATCACTACCCACTACTCACTACTGACTACTCTCTACTCACTACTCACTCCGCCCTACTGGCTCCTTACTACTCACTATTCGCTACTCCCTACTCGCTACTCACTACTCACTACCCACTGCCACTACCCACGACTCTCTATTCATCACTACTCACTACTCACTACTCACTACAAACTACGTACTACTCAGTACTCACTACTCACTACTCACTACTCACTTCTCGCTACTCTCTCCTCACTACCCACTACTCATTACTCACTACTCACTACTCACTACTCACTACCCACTACGCACTACACACTACCCACTACTCACTACTCACTAATCACTACTCGCCACCCACTACTCACTACCCACTACTCACTACCTTCTACTCATTACTCCCTACTCCCTACTCAGCACTCACTACTCGCTACTCGCCACTCACTACTCACTACCTACTACTCGCCACTCACTACTCACTTATCAATATACACCAGTCACTATTCACTACTCACTACTCCCCACTCCCTACTCCCTACTCCCTATTCGCCACTCACTACCCACTACTCACTACCCAATACTCACTACTGACTACGCACTAATTCACTATTCACTACTCTCCACTCCCTACTCCCAACTCCGCACTCCGTACACACCTTCTCCGGGGCAGAAAGGAGAAGCGAGAGAGGCCCCCCCTCCCCAGCTCCGTTTCCGGCGCAAAGGGCGGGAGGGGGGGGGGGTCCGAACCCCCCTGCCCCTTTCCAGCGCCATGGGGGGGAGGGGGGGGGTCCGGACCCCCCCCTTCAAGGGAGGGGGGGGGAGGGGGGTTCGGACCCTCCCCCCCTTTTAAGGGGGGGAGGGGGGGGAGGGGGCGAAAATCTCACCCCCGAGGGGGGGTGGGGGGGGTTCTGCACCCCCCCCCTTTTGTGTATTCAGGGAGATCCACTGACGCGCTTTCATACATACATACATACATACATACATACATACATACATACATACATACATACATACATACATGCATACAGGCATGAATGTATGCATGCATGCATGCATGCATGCATGCATACACATATACCCACACACATAAATGCATGTATGCATACATACATACATACATACATATATACGTACGTACGTACGTACGTACGTACATACATACATACATACATACATACATACATACATACATACATACATACATGCATGCATGCATGCATGCATGCATGCATGCATGCATGCATACATACATACATACATACATACATACATACATACATACATACATACATACATACATACATACATACATACATACATACATACATACATACATACATACATACATGCATGCATGCATGCATGCATGCATGCATGCATGCATATATGCATACATTCATGCCTGCATGCATACACGTACACGTACATACATACAGCCATACATACATACATACATACATACATACATACATGCATGCATGCATGCATGCATGCATGCATACATACATGCATGCATGCATGCATCCATACATACATACATACACAAATACACACACACATACATACATACATACATACATACATACATACATACATACATGCATACATACATGCATGCATGCATGCATGCATGCATGCAAGCATGCATCACGGATGCAGAGCAAAAGGTTTTCAGAATGTGGCTCGAGCCTGGGCGCCTCGCAGTCGTTTGAAAGTTTGCAAAAATTTCGCGGACTGACGGCGGGCGGTTTTCAAAATGTTGATCTCCCCTGAGCGCCGCGCACATTCGTCGTAAACATGTGCAAGAGTTCCACTCTCTGAGAAGTTGCAGAAGTTTACCAGATCTTCAAAGATGTCGGGCGGATCCTTTTCAAAGTGTGGCTCTCGCTTTAGCGAAACGCACATTCGTCTCAAAAGCGTCAATGAACTTCACGGCCGGAGGGCGGGTCGCTTTCAAAATGTGACTCTAGCCTTAGCGCCGCGCACATTCGTCTCGAGTTTACAAAGGAGGTTCACAAATTAAAGGCAGATCCTTTTCAACATGTGGTTCTCGCCTGGGCGCCGCGCACACTCGTCTTGAAAATTTAGGCGAGCTTAACGGATTCAGGGCGGGCAGTTGTCAAAATATGGCTTTCACCTGAGCGCCGCGCAAATTCTTCTTCACAATTTGCAACAGCTTTACGGATTGAGGGCAGCTCCTGTTCAAAATGTGGCTCTCGCCTTAACGCAGCACACATTCGTCTTAGAAGAATCCACAAGTTTCGCGGTTTCCCATGGTCAACGTACCACAAATGATGCTTTGGAACGGCTCAGGAATGTCAGGACACTACAATTACGTTGATTCGCGGTGTTGAAATTCCAGGAATGGTTTTCTGGTGGGATTCAGGAACGTCGGGGCGCAACAGTCAAGTTGATCCGTGGCGTTCGAGTCCAGAGAATGGTGTTTTGCGGCACGATTCGGGGTCTTCAGACGCCCAACGGGGCACATCCCTCAGCTGAAATGAATCCTTGTAGGGTCCTGTGAAAAGGGAGCTTGGAGGGAGGCTTAGTCCAACATCGTTGATGAGTGTTGGGCTTACACTGGTCCTTGGTCCTCCTCCTCCTCCTCCTCCTCCCCCTCCTCCTCCCCCTCCTCCTCATGTTCCCCCTCCTCCTCCTCCTCCTCCTCCTCATCCTCCTCCTCCTCCTCCTCCTCCTCCTCCTCCTCCTCCTCCTCCTCTCCTCCCTCCTCCTCCTCTCCTCATCATTCATCATCATCATCATCATCATCATCATCATCATCATCATCATCATCATCATCACCATCACCATCACCATCACCATCACCATCACCATCATCATCATCATCATCATCATCATCATCATCATCATCCATCATCATCATCATCATTTCCCCCCCCCCTCCTCATCCTCATCCTCCTCCCCCCTCATTCTCCCTCCTGCCTCCTCGAGGTAAAAATCACAAACTCATGCATACGACGCGTTCTCGCGGAGCGACCGCGTCCCGGAGCGTCCCGGAGCGTCCTGGATCCGCAGGATTGACAGGAATCCTCTGCAGTATATTGGACAGACCAGAGCCACGACAGACCTGGCAGACTATCCAACCGTGACCAAGCCACAACAGCCAGCACCAGACCGACAGGCCAGATATACAGACGGCCCAGACAAGCACACAAAACAGACAGACAGAAATACAGACAGACAGACAAATAGACAGGCAGACAGGCAGGAAGGCAGGCGGACGGACGGACGGACGGGCGGGCGGGCGGACAGACAGACAGACAGACAGACACAGACGGACAAACAAACGCACAGACCAGGCAGACAGGCCATATGCATCAGACCAACGAAGCAGACATTCCAGGCAAACCAACAGACAGACCTGCCACACCATACGGAAGACAGGCAAAACAGACATGCATGACCGAGACAAGCTCAAGTCGAACCACAGGAACGTATCTGCTTCGGCTGTCTGTCTAGCGATGTTCTCGCGAAGCGGTGCGCATCGTGGTTACATTCTTTACGGCTGTGGCCTCACCAACTCTGATGCCTTCTCCATATGAGAGGAGCTCGGGCCCCACTGCTGAGTATTTATGAACAAACGCCAAGCGGGTTATGTTGACCGAATTCAGATTCTTTAGCTGCACGCCCACGTTCCTGAGGTTGGCGTTTTTGGTGTCATCGTCAATGTGTTCCTCGCATGCCATCTGTGCCACCTCTCGGACGCTGCCAGCTGCACACCTTCACCGATCCTGGACAGGCCGGTCCTGGGCCCAGGATCGGTGTGTAGGCATACCTGGCCAAACCAGGATGGCGTATACACCGATCTCAGGCCCAGGATTGGCCTGGTCACGCTCGGTGTACAGTTGACGCCCCCTGATCCTTGACATCACATAGCTGCCTCGTCGTTAGCTCCGGAGGGTTGCCTCTCCATCCTGCGAAACTTACTGCCGGGGTAATAACCCCTGTCTCTGAGTCGACATCTCCATGGATGATTATGTGTATCGGGTTGCCAGATGTCTCGCTGTTTTGGATATCCTGCTTTTTTACTCCGCACATGAAGAAATCAGACGTGTCCAAGTCCTCGAGCTGGCTCATCTGAACACCGTCCAAGACACCCTCCGAAATGCCCGCGCCCAAACCAGCGATGAACATAGTACCGGCGCCCATAGTTGACGCAGCGATGGCTGCCCCTGCGACAACTCCACCCGCGTAAATGCCAGCCCTGATGTACATTCGTGGGTCCATCAGGGCCTGCGTGGCTAAGTTGCTGGGAAATCCGCCACCGTGCTTGGCACGTGGAGGCGTGGAAGAATGCCAAGTGCTGTCTGGCAGGGTTTCTGCACTCTTCTAAGGGACCCCCCCCCTGGCCGCCACCCCCACTCCTGAAGCTCCCTGGCGGCCAAGACGTCTCCCTGGCGCTCTTCGAGGCGTCCACAACGCCCAAGATGGCATCCGAGGCGGACCTGGCAGGCCACCAGGGCCGCCAAGATGGTCCAAGAGGCCTCCATGACGGCCTCAGACGGCCCAAGATAGTCTCGAGACGGCCTAAGAGACCTCCAAGACTGTCGAAGAGGGTTCCCATAGAGCCTCCAGCAAAAGCCCGAGAAGTACTAAATCCGATGTGTTCCACATGTGTTTGAAGGATTGTCGCATTCTCGAGGTTTCGAGCTCTCGTCGGCTCAACAAGACGGCCCCCAAGGAGCCTTCAAGATGGCCTCAAGACGGCCCAGGAGGGTACCAAGAGGGCCCCAAGACGGCCCGAGAGGGTGCCATGAAGGCCCAAGAGCGGCCCAAGAGGTCCCAAGTCGGCCCAAGAAGGCGCTCAGACGGCCCTCAAGGTCCCCAAGAGAGCCCCAAGACGACCCAGTGAGCCCCCCAAGATGCTCTGAAAGAGACCATACAAGAGCACCCTCAGACGGCCCAATGAGCCCACAAGAGCACCCGAGGCGCTGTCCCAAGAGGCCCCCAAGAGCCCCTCAAAAGGCCCCGAGAGAACCCTCAAGAGGCCCGAAATGTCACGCGTGACGGCCTCCCACCCCTCTCGAACAATCGCTACCCGCTGTGCTGGACTGGCACGGTGGCGAGACTTGCCGCAGACAGATGGATATCATGTTGGTCTCGCAAACCCCATCCTCCGTCTCACAAACCGGACACCGCTGAACGCCTGTGTCGTTCTGCATCGTTGTGTGCACTTTTTTGAACCGCCAAGTTAACTGCCACCAGTCTGAATGAAACGACGGAGAATCGCTGAATATTGTCCGCGGCGTCGAAACACCATTCGCCGGCACAGCGTCCCAAACCACAACCTCGGTCGGAGGCGACATCCCAACCCATTTGTGAACGACCACCACTTTCTCCAAGTCCCTGGGCATCCGGTTGTCCACGACAACGTTCACTGGCCGTGGTGTTGTCCTCTTTGACTCGCTGGCGTCCTGCTGTGTCCGAATCGACCACTCGTGGTCGTCGACAGCAATGCTTGGTCTAGCAGCCCCCCCCTGGCACACAAAATTCGCAAACGCAAATACTAGGACTCCTAAAGACGTAAAGATCATTGGACACTATTTGGACCAGCCGGCCCGTGCAAACGAAGACTCACAGTTTCGCAGGCCAGCGCGCATTCTTTAAAATGCTGTTTGAGCCGGAATGTCAGCGGACGTCGAAAAAGTTGATTACGCGATCTGCGCAACCAGGATCCCTAACATAACAAGCCCATGCGCGAGGCAAAAACGTGAGGGGGGATTCGGCGGCATGTCAAGCACACTACGACTCCAAGTCGATAATAAGTTTCTGCTAAGCACGGTGGAATTGAAATTCAGAACGCCGACAATTGGACCAGGGAGATGAACTGGCGGACAGCAATAAATACACCAGAGAGGTCCACAGACAGTTGGAGATGGATTTCCGAAGCATACCAAGACAGCATGATAGTGCCAGTTTGGGTAAGGATGCCGACTGACATGTCCAATGCTCTACACGTCCTTTCTACTGACTACCCTTTTACCCTTCACCTATACTTCGCACTGACAGGACCACCCTTCGGGAGATATGGAGGTTGGGGTGATGGGGTCAGCTTTCGGTCTGCGATTGGCGTCGAATCGGATTCGCGATGTATCTGTCTGCCTGTTGATCTCGCCAGATCTAGCACAGCGCCCCGAGGCACAGCATGGAATGTCCTCAGGACCCGCCGAATCCCAGGTGAAGAGCACAGAGTGCTATGGTTTTTAAGGTGCCCGCAACACCGAGGTCTGGGCGTTCCTGGTCGCTCCCGGGCGACCCTGAGATTCCCCGCGTGACCCTCCCAGGAAGCTGACTGGCCGCCGGCCCGCTCGAGGCATCCTCAGACGTGAACCCCCGAGGGTGGCACCGCGGTAGGGACCTCGGAGTCCTGCTGTGCCAAGATGGCCCTCGAGACCGCCAAGAAACGCCACCGACCCCCTCCAAGAGGCAGCCGAGCTCAAGAGGCCCCCAGGGGTCCCCAGGAGACCCCAGGAGGGCCCCCAAGAAGCACCCCACGAGTCCCAGAGAGGTATCGAAAAGGCCACTGACAACTCGGGCACGAGGAACCGACGCCCGCCATATGACCCAAGTGGTACCGCTGGGTGCCACTGAAGTCGGATAGCTTGCATCCAAGAGGGTGGCATCCCAAGAGGCCCCCGAGGGGCATCCCAAGAAGCCCCGACAGACATCCAAACACCTCTCGCCCACAACTCGAATCACGGTGGCGGGTTGGGCCGAAGGGCACTAGGTCGGCCAAGCTTATTAATTGCCTTGGGCTTTCGACGGATTTGGACGGTTGCTCATTGTGGGATTTCTGATGGCCCACAACGACCCCAGAGGCCACCAAGATGGCCACAAGGGCGCCCAAGAGGCCTCCGAGCCTACCCCCTGGCAGCCCAAGAGGTCCCAGACACGGCCCCAAGAGGGCCCCGAGACGGTCCAGGAGACATCCAAGACGCCCAAGATGGGCCTCCATGACGGCCCTGAAGCGCCTCAAGAGGGCTCCAAGTCGGCTCTGACGGCGTCAGACGGGCCAGGAAAGCCCAACACGAGAGGAAATTGCACAACGCCCGCCGCAAGAGGCTCAAGGAGGCCTCCCAGAAGCCCCCAGGAGGCCCCCAGGAGGCGTACAGGAGGCTCATAGATGATTCCTACCTGTCGCACCCCGGGACGTGTCGGTAGGGCGGGCTGGGTGTCGCGTTTATGATTAGATGGGTAGAGTTTAAAGCAAATTCACAAATGGAGAGCGGGTCCTTGCCAAGCTGTGGCTGTCGCCGTAGCGCCGCGCACAATCCTCTTCAAATGTCGCAAGAATTTCACGGATGGAGGGCGGGTCCTTTGCAACATGTGGCTCTCGCCTCAGCGCCGCGTACATCCCTACAAGTTTGCATGAGCGTCACGGATGGAGGGCGGGTCCTTTTGTAACATGTGGCTCTCGACTTCGTGCCGCGCGCGTTCGTCTCAAAAGTTTGCAAGAGCTTCACGGATGGAGAGCGGGTCGTTCTCAAGAAGTGGCTCTCGCTTTAGCGCAGCGCACATCTCCGTTCTTCAAAGTTTGCAGCGGCGTCACGGATGGAGGGCGGGTCGTTCTCAAAATGTGTAGATCGCTTTAGCGCCGCGCACCTTTGTCGCAAAAGTTCCAATGGGTTTCACGGATGGATGGCGGGACGTTTGCAAAAAGTGACTATAGCCCTAGCGCAACGCACAGTCGTCTCAAGAGCTTACACGAGCTTCACGGATGTACGGCGGATCATGTTCGAAGTGTGGCTCTCGCTTTAGCGCCGCACACATTCGTCCCGAAACTTTCATTGAATCTCACGGGTGGAGGGCGGAGCGTTTTCGAAATGTGACTCTAGCCTCAGCGCCGCGCAGTGTCGTCTCAAGAGTCTACAAGAGCTTCACGGATGTAGGGCGGATCCTCTCCTAAGTGCGCGTTTCGCCTCAGCGCCGCGCACGCTCGCTGCACACGTCTGCAAACTTACGGATAGAGGGCGGGCCGTTCTCTCAACATGTGGTTCTCGCTTTTAGCGCCGCGCACATTCCTCGTGAAACTCTCAAGAGGCTCACAAATTCAAGGCGGCGCCTTATCAAAATTTGCCTCTGGCCCCAGCGCCGCACACGCTCGTTACAAGAGCTTTCCGGCAGCTTCACGGATGGAGGGCGGGTCCTTCCCAAAACGTAGGTCTCGCTCTAGCGCCGCGCACGTTCCTCGTAAATGTTGCAACAGTTTCACGGTTGGATGGTGGTTCCTTCTCAAAATGTGGTTATGGGGCCCCAGCGCCGCGCACAGTAGTACGAAACGCTTACGACAATCTAACGGATCTTTATGGCTGACGTGCTGGAAATGGTGTTTCAGTACGGTGTAGGATTGTCTGGGCGCAATAGCCACGTGGGTTCGCGGTGTTCAAGTCCCGGAAATGGTGTTCTGGCACGATGCAGGATCGTCAGGACGCACGAGGAAAGTTAATTCGCGGCGTTGAAATCCAAAGAGTGGTGCGTTGGCGCGACTGAAGATTCTAAGGGGGTGGTCCTCCAACAGGGCATTTCCAGCACTGATAACCATTCCCGTAGGGTCTGACGAAAAGGGAACTTGGAGGAAGGGTTTATTGCAACATCGTCAATGCGCCTTGAGTTTACGCTGGTCCTCATCCTCGTCCTCCTCCTCCTCCTCCCCCTCCTCCTCCTCCTCCTCCTCCTCCTCCTCCTCCTCCTCCTCCCCCTCCTCCTCATCCTCCTCCTCCTCCTCCTCCTCCTCCTCATCCTGTTCCCTCCCTCTCGCCCTCTCCCTCTTCCCCCCCCAAATGTTCCCCGAAGGGCTCTCACAACGGCCGAAGGAGCACACAGTCCAATAGGGTGGACCAGCTCTGGCCCCAAAAATCGGCGTTCGGCCACATAGGCACGTCCAAAAGACACGGGGCGGCTGTGATTCGCCGCAGGCGCCTTCCATCCGCCACCCCCTGTGGCTTGCCATTGGTGCACGGCGCGCCGAACTTCTGAATGATTTGGATTTTGTTTGAACGTTCCCGGTGATGTCTCGGCCCAACCCGCTGGCCACCCATAAAAACTAGCCTGACGAAAGACCCAACCATATGCAGGTGTGAATACCGCAATTGTGATCCACTTTTTCGGTGGTGATCTCTACGAGGCAACGAACCATGCTAAGGGTGTGCCGAAATGAGTGGCGTGGTACACAACGCGAACGAAAACGATTGATCCGAGTACGTAGAGAGACTGAGCGCGGGTGAGTCTGAGCGCGAGTGCGTCTGACTGTGAATGAATCTGCGTGGGAGCGAGGTCTACGCGCATGAATACGAGTATGACAAAGCATGGTGCACTTGTATATGAATGTCATTAGTTTGAAAACGACTGCCTCTGAGTGCTCGTGACGCTGGGCGTGGCCGCCGCAAGGAACATCCCCGGGACTCCCCGACGGAATCGCCCGCGCGCCGCGACGCCAATGTCGGCGCGCCCCCCCGCGAGGATCGCGCCCGCTCCCTCCCCTTCTGTTACTCCCTCTTTGCCCGCGCAGTCAAAAGTCCAAGGCTGCGGGCGAAGCGCAGCGCGGAGTCCCCGCGACGCGCGCAGGTCGCCCCGGAGGGGTCCCAGCGACTCGCGCAGGTCGTCCGCTGCGCGGAGCGAAGAAAGGTAGCTGGCTGGCTGAAAGCGGGCAAGGCTCTTGCCGCTGGAGACGCATGCGAATTGCGCCACGGGGACCTTCGGTGGAGCCCCATATGGGGCCACGAAACGCTGTACTGGGTGGGGGAGACGCATGCGGACTGCGCCAAGGGGACCTTCGGTGGAGCCCCATATGGGACCACGAAACGCTGTACTGGGTGGGGGAGAAGCATGCGGACTGCGCCGCGGGGACCTTCGGTGGAGCCCCTATGGGGCCACGAAACGCTGTACTGGGTGGGGGAGACGCATGCGGACTGCGCCACGGGGACCTTCGGTGGCGTTCCCTATGGGGCCACGAAACGCTGTACTGGGTAAGGGAGACGCATGCGGATTGCGCCACGGGGACCTTCGGTGGAGCCCCTTTCTGGGGCCACGCAACGCTGTAGTGGGTGGGGGAGACGCATGCGGACTGCGCCACGGGGACCTTCGGTGGCGTTCCCTATGGGGCCACGAAACGCTGTACTGGATGAGGGAGACGCATGCGGACTGCGCCACGGGAACCTTCGGTGGAGCTCCCTATGCGGCCACGGAACGCTGTACTGGGCGGGAGAGACGCATGCGGACTGCGCCACGGGGACCTTCGGTGGCGCTCCCTATGGGGCCACGAAACGCTGTACTGGGTGGGGAGACATGCGGACTGCGCCACGGGGACCTTCGATGGAGCCCCATATGGGGCCACGAAACGCTGTACTGGGTGGGGGAGACGCATGCGGACTGCGCCGCGGGGACCTTCGGTGGAGCTCCCTATGGGGCCACGAAACGCTGCACTGGGGGGTGATGATGCTGATGTTGATGATGATGACGACGATGATGACGATGACGATGACGATGACGATGACGATGACGATGACGATGACGATGACGATGACGATGACGATGA